TGGTTGAGAGGATCACGAAGCCACAGCCACCCACGGAAAAAGATGTGGCCATCAAGCTCAAGCAGCAGGTCTCCACTCTCCGAGATTTGTCCCACCGCAAGCAGACCTTGCAGAGCAAGATAGATGCCACAAAGAAGGCTTTCCAGGAACTTCTAGATGAGATGAAGAGCATCCAAAGCAAGATCGAACAAGAGCAAGCCGAACTCAACACCACGAGTACAGCTTACATGTCCCTGGTTAGCAAGCAACCAGATCCTGTACAGCTTTCTGAGGATGCTGACATGAAGGACCCGGTGCCAGAAGCAGTTGCCGGGTTCATCAGCACCTTGGGAGTTAACCTGACTCAGGAGCAGCGTGATCAGGCGACGCAAGACGGGGGACGAAGACAAATACAAGTCGTGTGGGTAACGAGCCTTGTCCGGCTTTGAAGCATCCTACTTCTCCTTCTGAAAATGGCCATTATGTAGCCATCCACTGCTTGGACAATGCCTACTGGTATGCAGACGATGAACAGTACCCAGTTCCTCTTCCCTATCTTTCTGAAGAGCACAAGCAGCAGATTGTTCAAGTGTGGCTTACTCTCGACTCCGCTGATGAGTTGGTTCCCGACACTCTGGAGGCTTGGGAGCCGGCTCTCCAAAAGAAGCAAAGATGCCACTATGAGACGCTACATCTCCCCTTTGCCAACGTCACCAACTTTGGGCGCAAAGTACAAGACTGGGTTTGGGCCAAAACTGATCACCTTCTCTTCCTCCAGGAGACACACATGGGCACCAAAGCGCTGGAGGCCACCGGCAATGGAGGCAATACTGGAGGCTTCCTCACCCTCCACGGCCAACGACACTTGGCTCACCATGTGCAAACCTACACTCAGCTACAGAGAGCGGGAACGCTCATTTTGATCACCCAGGCCTACCTCAGAACTGGAGAAACCTTGCAGTCTCCACGCAACGCCATCGGTGGTGACTGGCAGAACTCACCTGATGCCTTGGCGGCCACTGTGATCATGAGCAAGTTCAACTGACATTGAAGGGCCGCCACTTTGCATGGGTCCCAGCTGGACTATTTGCTGATCTCCAATGTCTTGGTCAGCTCTGTTCAACTCAGTGCAGATTGGGAAGTACCATGGAAGCCACACTGCGGCCTGGCCATCACTCTCACTTGTGATTCGCCTGATGTTGAGGTCCAGCAATTCATGCTCTGCCACAATGCTGGACGACCTTTCAGGAAGCTGATGGACCCTTCTCCATTGCTGGCATCCAGATCACTGGTCTGGGATCTGATCTTGCCCGTTGGGCAAGCCAGACGGAGCACGAGCCAACTACAGGGAGGGGGCATCAAGTCCTGATGAAGAAAGCTCCCCTGGTCCACATCAGACCGCAAGTTTGGAAGAAAGGCCAATTAGCCTACTGGGAACGCATGGCCGTCAGGGTCAACATCCTCCATCAGACCCATCACAAGAAGGTGGCGCGGGATCTGACCAGCATGCTCTCCACTCTCAATGACAATGCCTCCGAAGACATGGAGCAAGATCTCTTTGCCACCCTTCTCAGCACTTGGATCAAAGAACCTTGCAATGATCCCACGGAGCTAAAGAGATACATACAAAACCAAGAACATCAGGCGATCAAGCACTGCTCAGCTCCGGTAGTGCCGAGTTCAAGGCCTGGCTCGAGAAAGCACACACGCAAGGCCTCAGAGGACTCTTCAGGAATCTTCGCCAGAGGGACATTCCCTGGCAACGTCCCTTTCAAGATCTACCAGCTTTGGACAGACTCCGAGCTAGGGAAGAGCAATGGGGAGAGATTTGGTGGCCATCTGATGGTCCTTGTCACATTCGAGGATTCCAGGCCCTCAAGGCAGCAGCAACTCATCATGCCATTGGAATCCCACCGATCGACTCCAGTGTCCTGCAAAAGGTTTTGCGCAAGCTGCCAAACAAAGCTGCTGGTCCTGATGGTATTACCTATGACTTCCTGAGGCATCTATAGAGTACCCGGCGGTGAACCGATTAGCTCAACTGCTCACAGCCACCCTGCCCACACAGATGACGCTCACGAACATCGTCATGATTCCCAAGGACAGCGTCACCGATGGCAACTCAGTTTGGACGAAGAGCTTCCTTGGGATAAGGCTCGGCCACAGCAGGATTGCCTTTCCATTGCCATTGGAAGGATGCTCAAAGCGGACAAGCACCAGGGCATTCACACTGTTTCCTGCCTGGCGGACCTGTCATGTTTCTATGACACTGTGAATCTGGACCACATCATCGAGCCAGCTCGCATCCTGCAGTACCCAGTGTTGCACCTGAAGCTGGCCCTTGATCTTTACACTGGCCCAAGAACAATCCAGGCGGAAGGAATCAGTGAAGATCCCACGCACTATCAACGAGGAGTTCTTCAAGGGTGCCCTCAAGCTCCTGCAATTTCCAAGCTCATCCTTTACAGGCCTTTGAAGCAGCTGGTTCAAACACACCCTGACGATGTTTCCTATGACATCCAGGGCAGAGACCCAGCTTATGTGGCAAGAGAGGCTCTTTTAGCGTTCCGCGCGCTCAAAGCTGAACTCGAAGTTGCGGGTCTGACCATCAACACAGACAAAACAGGCTTCATCACCAGCGCCAAAGAGGTCAGCAAAGAGCTCAACCTGTTGCTCACACCGGAGGATCCTGCACACTATGACGTTCTCCGCGACTTGGGAGTCGATGCAACAGCCACTCGGCGTCGAAGAGTGATGCAGGTCAAGAAGCGCTTCAACAAAGGTAGTGCAAGGACCGGGATTCTGCACGTGCTGCACCGCCTGCGGTTGGCTCCAACCACCAAATACAGACTTCATCGAGGAGCCATCCACCCGGTAATGACGCGGGGAGCCCAGGCCAATGGTTTGCCGCCGCAAAGGAGGCAAAAATTGAGGGTGCTAGCAGCCAGGGGCCTTCGTCTTCAAAGAAGTGGGTCCGTGGATGTGGTATTCGACCTTCATCCAAAGCTCCCTGACCCGGCGGACTCCATCATTTGCCAGCACATCCATACAGTTTGGAAGCTCTACCATGCGTTTCGTGAAGGAGCCCAACACTTGTTCTGGACTACCTGGAATACTGCTCTCGGAGCTCTCCTCAAGGCCAAGTACAGATGGCAGGTCGTGTCTGGACCCATGCAAGCCCTCCAAGCGTACCTGCTGGACTACGAGTTTGACAATCTCCAACGGCGAGCAGTGGAAGCGCACAGGATATGGAGGCATTCCTGACTGTCTCCTCTCCCTTGAAGATGGCAACGATTGTTGCGATTGACAAGGTACGAGGGTTGCCACGATTTGGAAAGGCCATTAGATTGGACCGTCAGTTCAGAGCTCCAGAAGAACACCAACGACAAGACAGCGACCGCCCTTCGAGCCTTCCATCAAGTGTCCCCTCTGTGATCAAGAGCTGACCTTCATCCATTTGATCTGGCAGTGTCAGTACTGGAAGGGCAGAGCTAAAGAAATCCCTGCAATGGAAAGAAAGGCTGGAATGTGGCACTGAGCCTGAGCTATGGAATCGTGGCATGGTGCAATCCATCTTCTACCAGGTCGAGACTGGCATGGGTTCCTTTGAAGGCACCGGCCAGTGGCACACCCAGGAGACTCTATCCTTCGGTACGGGTCACGCCTTCGCAATCCCCTACCTGTGCGGATGGCAGACATAATAAATTCTGCTTTGCCATTTGCGTTCACCGCATTGCTGACCGTGAACAGGTGGCCTCACTCACGGGGATTTGTCCAGGCAAAGTCACAAAGCATCGGGCGCTCTTTTATGCTCTCAAGCACCTGGCGCTCCACGTCAAAGAGAAGGTCCAAGTGGCCATCTATGACCATCAAGTTTGGAAGCACTGGACCCCTCACCGAGAACTACCCTGATCTTTTCCAAGGCCTGGAGTGCGAAGACTTTGAAATGATCCGCCCGCTTCTTTTCACCTTGAAGGAGCTGAAGGAGAATCTGCTCAGGGACTACCTCCAGAAGAGTGCGCAGAGGGTAGGAAAGCAAGCAGCTGAAAGGCACAAGCCCACTGCAATCCTTGATTTGCAAGCCAACATCGATGAAGCTGCTGAGGCAATCTTGTTAGCCGCTGCAGAGCGCATTGAAGGAATCCACAAGGACAAGAACCACTTCTTCCACAAAGGAGGTGGCTCCGGCACAAACAAAGTGCCACTCATTCAGCAAAAGCGAGGCATGTCAGCAGTGCAAGCAGAGGCTGCGTACAAAGAGCCCCATCCAAGAGCTCAGACAAGCTCTCACTATGGACTGTGCTGCGCAAGTCGTGCAACCCGTCAAGCGCAAGACGCGCTTGGAAGCCATCCAGGACCTCATTCAGGATCAATCTGATCCGGTCCCCGGCAAGCACCACATCTCCTTGGATCGTGCTTATGCCCGCTGCAGCCAATGCAAGAGCTATGTCTTAGCGAGGACAGCGCAGGGCACCTTTGAGAAATGGTTCAATGAACCATGCCTGGTGGGTCCGCTGGCATCTGAGCTATGGCATGGGCATCCCTCTCATCGAATGGAGAGGCGCGGCAGCAAGATCACCTGTGGACGCTGCAAGTGCCGATCAAAGATCGTGGATGGCATGGTGGAGATGACCGACAAACTCCGCCAACGTTGCCAGCTCCCCGGATCAAAGGATCTGAGGAGCTTCTTTCGCTAGAGCACCCGCTCGCACATCAGAAAAGGCGTATACATACATACATACATACATACATACATACATACATACATACATACATACA